GAGAGAGAGAGAGGAGGGGGCCCTGAGGGGAGACCAGGGCCCTGCACTGCTGTCAGGCTGGGGTCATTCCCTGACTAGTGTGGTGGGATTAAGGGTCACAGATTTTCTCTATTATGGAAGAATTGTATGTGATTTTTTCTTCTTTTTTAATTTTAATTTTTTGGGGGGGAGGTAATTTGATTTACTTATTTATTTAATGTTTTTAATGGAGGGACTGGGGATTGAACCCAGGGCCTTGGGCATGCTAAGCACCCACTCTACCACTGAGCTATAGCCTCCCTGGTTTTTCATATATATCAGTATTCTCTTTAAAATTATCTATTCATATACATGCATTTTAAAAAGAATATTATTCTCATGAGAGTTTTTCATCGCTGATTTCAAAGATCTCCATTCTGCCACTCACTCACGTTTTAATCTAGGTCTCAGTTTCCTCATCTGCAAAGTGGGCCTCAGGGTGGTTGTGAAGGCCAAGCAGGATAGTGGGTTGAGAAGCCACTGAAAACACCACATGTACAGACGTTGACCTCATTGGATGGAGGCTGGGCCCTCAGACTCGATACATCAGAGGACCACGGCCATTGGGGTGGAAATCTCTAGAGAAGAGCAGCTCTGACTGGGCCTCATGCTGGTTCTCTCCAAGGTCCTAAGTGCTTGCTCTGGACCCGCCTGTTGCCACACTTGCGTGGCAGCCTGTGCAGTGGGGGTGGTGGGTGGTCAGAGCCACAGGAATACTTCAGTCTTCACCAGCTGATTGGCCTCAAAAATCAGCAGGGCCGACAACAGAGGTAAAATCTTCTCGAAGCCCTGTCAAGTGATGATGGCCAGGATTCTCTTGTTTGTTTATTGGCACCTGCACAATTTCAGAGGATGAAGGCCAACCTGGCTGCAGGGCGTCAGACCTGGTGGGGCTCCTGGTTGTCATCTCATCCGTAGTCCCCCTTTACAGAGGATGAAGATGAGGATGTGGGAGGGCACGTGACACCCCCAGGAGCACTCACCCTGCCAGTGGCCGAGCCAGGACTAGATCCAGTCCCCCTGTCTCCTGGATCTAGGGTTTTTTCTACAAAGCTTTGTTCCCCACATATTTGCCAGGAATCTACAGTGTACCAGGTACACACAGTGGAAAAGACACACAGGGTCTTGGCCCATGAGCAGCCTCTGTTCCAGTGGGAGGGATGGTCAAAAAATAATTCAACGTATGCATGCAGTTAAATAAGAGTATGCAAGCTGCATGAGTGCTCTGACCAAGGGTCAGAAATAGATTATGGGGGAGGGTTCCTAATTTATCTGCGGTAGTCAAGGAAGCCTTCTCGGAGGAGGTGACACTTCTTCAAGACCTGAGGTGGGGGAGGGCATGTCAGGCTAAGGGAAGTCCCACATCAGGAAGGCAAAGGAACTGAGTGTGTCTGACTGGAGGATGGGGGCGGTGGGAGGCAGCGGTGAGTTTGGAGAAAGAAATAAGGATTTCGCCGTGCCTCGTGGGTCATGGTGAGCAGTTTGGACTGCATGTTAAGTGCCCGGCGACACGACCAATGCATGTTTCAAGATTACCTGGGCAGCTGCATGGCACCAGTTCGAAGGGACAGAGCAGAAATAGGAGCAGGGGGCCAGTGAGGAGGTCCTGCAGAAGTCAAGGTGAGGGGGTGGTGGCTCAGCCTAGGGCAGTGGTGGAGGAGGAGGCAGAAAGAGGGGGAGATTTGAGATCTGCTTTGGGATCTGAGTCTTATGGATGGATTGGCTGGAGCAGGGTGTGGGGCAGGAAGGAGGGGGAGGGAGCAAGGGTGACTCTGAGTTTCCAGCTTGAGTAACCCTCAACCCCAGTGCCATGTGCGTTCTTTAGAGAAGACTCGCTCTAGCACTTCACCAGTCTCACCTCCATCTCAGCCTCTTTCTGGCTGTTCCAGCCTCTCAGTTCAGTAAGTCATGATTCTGCCTACTCAGCCAGTGAAGAAACTGAGGCACACACCAGCAAAGCAAACTGCTCCTTAGGGAACCAGCCATGGAAACTAGACAAAGAGCTGGAGCCGAACCCTGGGGGCAGCCTCTGGGCAGCAGAGTCCTAAAGACCCAGGACTAAAGAGCCTAAAGAGCCTGAAGACCTGATGTTCAGTGTTACGATTTATCAAGCTGTGTGACCTTGAACAAGTGGCAAGACCTCTCTGAGCCCCAGTTCCCTCATCAGTAAAATGGAGATGGTAAAAGGATCTACCTCATAGTGTGGCTGCAAGGGATTAAATGGGGGGGGGGGTAGGGTAGAGCCTCAATAGATGTTCGTGATTACTATTTTCGGATCACATGGCCCATCTCTGTATCCCCCTCTCTATACATGCACATATAGACAGTCTGTAATTCTGGCTGTGTGCGCGCTCGAACAGGAGCCGTCTGTGAGCCTAGGTCACTGCTGATGACCAGACACCACCAAAGTTTCAAGTTAATGGTAGCAGATTTGCTCCCTGGCTTCTGTTCTGCCTTCTGAGCCACTGCCTGGTGGTTGGGGCAGGAGCTTTCATCCTCCTGGAACAAGAGTGCGTTGTGGGTTTGGAGGCAGATGTGGAAGGCAAGGCGTCTGTAAGCCAGCCTGTTTCCAAGTGTTCTGACCGACCTGACCCAGGAAGGGGGTGGGGCGGGAAGGAGGGGGAGAGGGGAGGGGAGTAAGAGGGAGGGGCCAACGATGGCGGCCTAGGAAGGAACCACCTCCCAAAAAGAAATGCACAGTGACAGATCGAGAGTCTGGCCCGCCCCGAGCCCCTTCTGTGTGGCTTTGGGAGCCTCCCCAGCCCCCCTCCCCCACCCTCCAAGACTCCTGTGTTTCTGTTCCCAGGAAGCAGCCGGCATAGGGGCTGAGAACAGGGAGTCTCAGCTGAAGGGCAGTGGGGCCGGGCTCCCCATTTTCTGCCCAGAGCCCTTCCGAAGGGCGTGTCTCCATAAGGCGCGCACACAGTGATTAAGGGGGAGGGAGGAATGACATCCACTGTCCACTGCGGTACCCAGCCGGCGGGCTGGACCATGGCCAGCTCTCCCCCGGGCTCTTGGCTGCAGTATCGACAGTCCTGGCACCACCCGCTGCCCTACTCAGACACTCCTTCAGGTCCAGGGGCCGGAGCCCTGCTACGAGGGGCCGCCTAGGGGCAGGCTGGGCTGGACACCGCATCTCTTCCCCACCCCTCCCTGCAGCCTCCCTCCTCCACCACCCCCTCTGCCCACATCCAGCTCCAGCTGGATTTGAAAGAGGTGCTCCAGTCCTCCCTCCCTCCCTCCAAAGCAGGCCCTGCCCTGTACTCTCTCCTTTCAGTTGGAAGCTGTATCCATAAACTGGTCCAACCTCGAAGACCCTAACCCAATGCTTTATCCACTGGGAGACCCCTCTAAGGCCAGGTCCCACCCCAACTCCGGTCTTCACTTCCCCCACCTGACATGCCCTCCTGCTCACAGCAACACAGACTTCCAGGCCTGCCCAGACCACTTCCAGAGCCCGCTCCACATGAGTCCTCTCTTCATGACTGCCCCTCGGCTCCGTGTCTGCTCCGAGGATCTGCGCCCTTAATGGATGCCACACAGGGCTCCATGTTCCCTGCCCCATGCTGAACAGCCCTGTGCTTTAACTCCCCACAAGACATGAGGCTCCGAGGGCAGCACCCCACTGCACCCACCCCACCTCCACCCAGGCTGTTGCGGCAAACCTCAACTTACGGGTGCACAACAAACACTTCTGGATTGACACTGATTCCAACCGGGTCATGCGTTGGCACCTTTACCTCCCGGGTCTGGGAGTGGAGTGTGGAGTCACACTTGATTGGATATTTAATTAGCGCCTTTGTGGACAAAGGGATTTGACTTTTCATTCTTTGGCTTGGGTGTTCCGGGAGTACATGGTTTTTGATAAAAAGCTATGGAGTCATCCAATCTTGGAAACTGTCCACCTGCCCTGATTAAGCACCTTCCCTTCTGACCTTCAGTGCCTGATTCTCTGATTTAGCACCCCCTCTCCACCCCAAGTCACCCCTCCCTGGCTCTGAGCCTCTCTGTCCCCATGTGCTGCCAACCGCCACCCTCCCACCAGAGCAAGAAGGGTCTGACAGACTCATTCCAGCCCCCTGGGGAGACTCCTGCCCCCGACCCATGGCTATTTATGGTTTTTAGAACCATAGAGAGAGAGACCCTTCCTGCCTTCCAGGAGCAATTTTGCCTGCCCTTGCCCCGGCACAGGCTTTCTGCAGGGCGTGTCCCACAAAGAAATGAATCATTAACACTGGGATTTCAGGCAGGGGGCACCTGTTGGAGAAGATATTAAGTCTGAACTGTCTTCCTGGGATTCTGCAAACCTCAGCCCCATCCTTGGCGTTCATAGATGAACGGACCTTTGGGATTCACCTCTGGCTTTGGGGTGCCTTAAGGCTTGTGACCTGCCTCTGAAGAGTGGCAAAGGTCGTGGAGGGCCAGGCCTCTCATTGGTCGCCTTTGTCTTGTGCTGATTCTCCACCGCACACCAGGCAGTGGGTCACCAGGGAGGAAGGATTCCCCTGGCTCCTCCCCCATTTCTGAGAACAGCCAATCTAGGTACCAAGGAGTTAAGGAAGGTTCCCCTCAGATGAAGGACAGTTCCTGAGGAAGAGGGCTGACAGTAGCAGGAGCCTCTCAGCTGGCAGTTTTCAAAAAGAGTGTGGGGTGTGGTTTTAAGGAACAGCTTGGAAGAGGGCGCTCCCGCCACACCTCTTGGATTGGTGGTTGGCTCACCCCAAACGTGGACTATTGGGTCTCTGGTTGGCATTTCTGAGTCAGTCTCAGAACGGAGACAAAGCCAAGGAGAGCCTGGTGATACTGTGTTTGTTGTTGGAGAGGAGTGTCAGTGGGTGCCCCCACCTCAGACCTCTTGACTCCCTCTGGGCCGAGTTCCCCTGGGCAACCCCACGGAGGGAGCCACAGTTCCGTGCTTGCTTCCTGCACTTCCTTCTTTTTTATTTGCCACTTGAAGGCTTGCTGTGCGGTGTTTTATTTAGTAAGTTACACTCACGACCCTTTAAGGAGAAAACATATAATTCTAGTAATTTTATTGGGCTCAGGTTTCAGGCAAATGGAAATAAAATTGCCTCTAAAAATAAAAGGCACACAGAATTGAAGAAAATAAAACAATAACAATGAAAAGCCGATCCTGATTTGAGATAAGTGGTGAGGCATTTTGTGAAATATTAGAGGAAAAAATAAACAAACGGAGAGACCCGGGAGAAGAGCAGGAGGAGAACTCCCGCAGCCACCCTTGCTTTCGTTTCTGCTTCACCTTTAGGAAAGGGCTCACTGCCTGTTATAAAGTGAGGCGTAAAGCACGACTGGTGAAATTGGTCCTTGTCCCGCGCTTAACAGTACAGGTGGACGAAAGGGGCTGCCTGCCAAATACTTCTGGTTGGAGGGAGGGGTGGGAGTGCTCTCTCAAAACCACTCCTGGAATGGCTTAACTCGCCCAGCACGAATCAATGACAACCTCTCGCCGGCTGCGGCAGGCTCCCCTGAGCAGCGCTGCCGCGTGGATTCTCAGCCAGGGACCCTGGCGGCGCTCAGGACACGGCCCGGCCACGAGCGCGGCGTCCCCGGGGCGGCCAGGTGGGTCTGCGGCGGCCTCGGCCGGAGCGGGCTGGGATGCGCGCGGGGCCTCGGGCGGCCGGCAGCCCGCGGAGGTGGGTTGGGGAGGAGGCCCCTCCGGCTGCGGGCGGCTGCGTCCCCTCTCCCGGCGCTGCGGGCGCTCGCGCTCGGCGTGGCGGGGACCGCTGGCTCGGGTGGCACTCGTCGAGCGTGAGCGGCGGCGTTTGCAAGGAATATCAGAGCCGCGCCTGGGCTGGAGCGGCGCGTACT